CAAATTTTACAAAATTTAATATTTAGGCATAATTTGAGTCATAGAATCGAAATATGGAAAAACATTGGCATGTCATATCAGAAAAAGTCCGATTTTTGTGTCAAAATACCTATAATAGAACAATGCTGTATATAAATCTAATATATATCCTAAGTCGCGCTTTCGAGACAGGAGAAACGCAATTTGAATTTCGTCAAAATTAGCCCAGTAGAACAGGAGATATAGAACCGTCCCCCTCCTTTTTTTCCCCGCAGTGTACCTCAAGCTTTTGTTATTAGAGATATAAACATTTTGAGGAATTTTGTGAATAGAATTTCCCATTAAATTATACGATAAATAATTGTTCGCTTCTTAATACATTAATTATCATATCATCTTTAAAGAAAACCTTACTGTGTGAAAATCTTTTTTTTATTGGGTTTGTGTTTAGATGTGATGAAATTTAAGTTTTAAAAAATATTTCAGGTATAAAGTGTGTTGTAAAAGGAGCAGAAAAAAATTCAGTGAAATAAGCAAGTAATTACTTTTCCTATTATAGTAGATTCAAAATAATATTTTTATAAAAGCTACTTATCATAACTATATTGAAAAAATGTTAAATTTTATTTAAAATTCTTCCCTTGCGGAATATTTCTTTACTTAAATGTTTATATAAAACGAAATTCTCGATTCGCGTTTATGAAGCCCTTAATTCTGAAGGAGGTTTCTGAAATTCTGACTTGATTTAAAAAAAATGGTTTTCCATCAAACTGAATGTACCGAAATGAAATATGATTTTGGCTTAAACTAGTTAAAGGAGAGTTCTAAAATTTGTTTAAATTAAAAGAAAGAATTAATTTTAAAGAAGATGAGCAATGTAGAATATGTCACGGACAGCTTTATTTGTGATAAATACTAATATTTTCTCTTAGGAAATGTACTCTACTTACACAAAGTTTCCAGCGCCTATTCAATATGGCATCATTATGAAGAAGTCCCTCGAAATCAACATATGACTGCTTGCCAACTAGCAGTTGGACGATAAATGATTTTTCACCCTAGCTAAGTGCAGCTAGAAGTGGGTTAACCATTAAGCAAAATAAGCAAGTGCTTAGAGCATCAAAAAAAGGGGCCACCATAAAAAATTGCTTGTGTCACGGAAAAGAGGCACCACAAAATTTCTTATTTTCATTGTTACATTGTTACCGTGGAATGCATGGTGCAGATATACCAAGACCGAGAGAAAAAGAAATGGAGAGAAAAACTAGTGTAAATGTATGGGGTGGTGCTTTTAAGTGCTTACGAGCAGGTCTTTTTCAAGTATTATTTCATTGTTTGATCTTCACTAAAACCTCTTATATAGGAAAAACTAAAAATTTCTGAAAAGCACTACTTTTAATTCGCAAGCCGGAGCTAAAATCCCTATCACTGCCCTTTCTCATATAATACATATACAAGTACTATTCAAGTTTCAACAGTTATCACAAGTTTGTTTTTCTCTTACCACTGGATTCTACAGTTACAGGACCATGCACGAAACGCGGTTAAGAATGCGCTAATATTTTATACTTATATATGTATATCTTAAAATCTCCTCACTAAAATTATATGTTGTTCCCGAAAGTTCTTAACCCAGCTTTATTTCTGCTGCCGTTGGTCATATACATATAAAACACACAGCGAAAACCCGGGATTTTTGGTTTCTCTGATTAATGTTTGCTAATAACTTTCATATGTAAGTCGGAACATATTCAGTAAAAGTTGTATATCTGCGTGAAAGATAAGAGTATTTACGGAAAGAAAACTTTTACTTAATCTTGATTAAGACATTCATATTCAGCCTTCATGTGTGTAATCTTTTATTAAATGTCACCAGTACCAAGAATAAATAAGGAAGAAACATGGTAAGATAATAAATTACCTGCAATCAACCTTGGTTTTCCCACATTTATCAAGTGCAAATCTTTTAAGACAGCAGTTATCGCTATCGTCAGAGGTAAACAGTATCCAAAACAGTCTACACTGTGTTTGAAGTTCCTTCTCAGGAATGTATTCAATTAAAATAAGAAAAGAATGAGAACTTGGAATTTAAATTTAATTTATCATAGTAAAATGATCTAAATGTCTTTCTTGATTTCTTCTCCCTGGTTTCCTTGAAGCTGGAATAATAACCATTTTAATTACTTATGATGTAGCTTTTATTTTTTCTCTATGATTGTGAATATTTATACTTTTTCTTTTGTTTTTTAAATTCACACAGTATCTTCTGCAAAGAGACCTAATGCAGACGGAAATTTTACGAGTTAATGTAATAATGAAATTTTCTGTAACTATGACCCTTATTTAATTGATTTTATCATTTTATAATGTAATTAGTTGTCTTATTCCATGGGAATAAATCACAGTGATGACTCTAAAATTAAATTGATTAAATTCTAACTGAAGTCTTCTATCTAATTTAATCTAACTAAATTCTAACTGAAGTATTCATGTTTTCTCGCAGAAGACTTCAGTTAGAATTTAATAAAATATTTCGAGAAAAATGTCTAAAGGGCTTACTCTTCTGTATCCTGGTCCAGTAAAATCCTGTTTAAACGAAGTACTGGAGTAGAGCAATTTCAGATAATGCTTTTTTTTTCTTTCGTATAACCAATGACCATATCTTATTTCATGAAAAAATTTAAATTAAAATTGATTTTTATTAACAATGATTATTATCCTTATTACATTATTTTCCATATTATTTTTGAATACATTATATAAACTAAACTTATCAGTTACCTTTTAAACGCATTATTTTCAATTTGATCATAAAAAAAGAATAATAGCTATTTTTAATTTTAAAAAACACTTAACTATTTACTTTACTGTAATCGTTTTAAGTTATTAAACCAACTGCCTGTCGATAAAATAGTAAAATGACATACGAAAATCAGTGGCGCTATGCTTTACAACAAATTTACAAAAATGTAAAATTAAAAAAAAGAAAAGCTATAAATAAATGTAAATTTTTTTTATTGAAATTTTTTGCGTCTACATTTTTATATATTAATAACTATAAATAACGATTATTATCTTAAGTTTCAAAATAATAATTCCATCATAATAGAATTCTTCATTTAGAATATCTCTGACATCTGAAACGAGGCACAAGCAAATTTTGTAATAGAGTAATAAGAAAGTTACTGATATCATTTCAAGACTATTGTTAGGCATTTTGCTCTCCGTGCAATCAGTATTCATGAAATATGCTGCCGAGTGCTTCTGTAAAAACGTCCATTGCCTGAAAGGCCATATACTATATACGGCCTAGATTTTTTTTTTCTTTTTTTGATGTCTTTAAGAAACTCTATACATGTGCATCTTGAAATATGTCCAAGAAATTAAGGAAATACATTAAAAATACATAAATCCAGGTATGCAATCCTGGGAGCAATTTGGCTTTAAAATGTAGGAAATACCTCTTTCTCATGGCAGTTTCCGGAAATTTGCGCTTCCTTAGCGAAATCCCATGCCGTCAGAAGGTAAATTCTAAACATTTTTGCCGCCTCTATATTCTACTACCTCTGCCGCCGCAGAAAGGTTGTACTGTTGTCGATACCGCAGTATCACTGATTTAGACATTGCAGCATGTTTAGTAATTTACTGAAGTTTTCAATGTTTTCTTTTTGGTAATTAATTTATTTTCCAAGAATATTTTTTGTGGAAAGCAAATTTTCCTTGACATAAACTACCAGTGAAATTCTTTACACGATTTTACAGTCTACAATTTTTGCATTCAGGATACTGATATCACTCTTGTTCACTCAACGAAATACATATTCATCTATACATAATGACTTAATATAATAATAAAGACAGTAAATAAAAACCTTGATTTGCAACAAAACTAAAGATTGTTGGCTCACAGATTGTAATACTTCAGTCTATTTTTTTTCTGCGGTTTCTGTTAATCTAATAAACGGTTAACAATGGCTTCAGTATACTTCATCTTGGATTCTTTTCCAGACGAATGCTTACAGAAGCAGATCCGGAGTATTAGTTTTTTTAATTATTATTATTTTAAATATGAAATATAAATAGGAGCCAGTGTCCTTAAGGAAGTATCTATTAGTTATAAGAAACCAACCAATCTATAACATTTATACGTAAGGAATGTAAACCTGCAAATAAAATATAAGAAATATGCAAGAAGAGTAAATCACAGTTTAAATAGTTATCCAGATATCTTAAATTAGAAAAAAGGAGAGCAAAAAAAGAGATGAGATTTCCAAAGAAAAAAATAATCAATATTTGTTTTTCTATTCCAGGGTAACTTCATGTTATAAAATACTTATTATTCACTTCTTGACAACTTCTTTCTACGTATTATACTGGTAGTTTATATGGATAAATTTTGCAAAATCACAGGCAAAAATATTTTAATCGCAATATACACACAAAAATCGCATTCAAAGTATTTTCACTTTTATACCATGTTAAAAGCTTTAAAAATGTATACTTTATGAAGCATATTTTTAAAATAAATATTTTCATGTCATTTAATGTTAGTAGCAATTTATATTTAAATAAGTCAATACGCGTTTCAATTAAACAAAAGATTTTAGATAGTTACATAAAATGAAAGATAATTTCTACTAAAATTTTTAAGTTCTCAGCTGTAACATTTTTAGACTTCAAATAAAATGCAATTTAAAGTAAGAATAGTACTTTCAATCATTTGGAAATGATGGCATTTTTAATTCTCTTTCTATCGTTTGAATATATTATTAAGTAAAAGAGAACGCCTAGCTTCGCCAAAAGTCAAAATGAGCAGACGGCAACATTTTTAAAAGGAAGTGAAGCAGGCGAAAGAGAAACTCCGAAAACGGTTCTTTGCGTCAATAAAAATATCACATCGGCGTCAAAATTTCTGGACTTTGTAAGTCACTCTGAAATATCACCTGTAGCTAAGGGCTCATCATTCTGTTACCAAGGTAAGATGATAAGACTGTTTAAAAATATCTGGCATTTCACGATAGCTCTCTCAATGAATAGCGAGATAGAATAAGGAAAAACTTAGAAAGTTTCTGGCTTTTGCCAGGGCCGTCATGTCTATTATTGGTTTTTTACTGAGCATTTACAGATATCAAATTTTAGTAATATTTTGAAATTGCTTACAGTTTTTATAAAATAAATAATATTTTCTGTGCGACTTCAGGCATTATTAAATGCTCAAAGAAGAAATTCTAAAATGTCAATAATTATGTTGTTGAAACTGAACCAGCTTCATCTTTCCTGCATCAAAAACTTTTCCTTTGTGTTATTTACCACTGTTTTCGTGATGAGTTACTCTGAATATTGTAATTGTCTAATCATAAGTTACAATATAATAGCTGCGAACGAGACATCTCTTTCAAGTACAGAAGGCAATGAAACCACATTCCCTTCCGCACTAAGTTCTTTGAAATCTTTTCTTGGAAGTCTGCCGTGGAAATATAAAGGTAACTGTTTTTGTTGTTATTTTTTTTTCCATTTCCATGTTTTTGAGAAAACGTGATTTCATTTTCATCTTGAGTTAATAGTTGCAGGAAGTACCATAATTTCTTGTATTATTGTTTGCGTGTGCTCCAAAGGTCTGCCAGCTTTAACGTGTTCGATGTGTCCGCCAACTGCCGATAGTAGATGTCGCTGAACGGTGGTACTTCGGCCGGGGTGCGAATCCTAGCGAATGGGCTAGTTTCATGGGAGTTTTCGTGTTCTTCTCCAAGTAACATAGATACGAGACAGTTTCTCTTAAGAAATCCTTACGAAGGCAATCCTTCCTGTAGGCATATAATCCTCGAGTTACTTTGCCTTCATAAATTAACCTAACCTTACCTAACTTTAATCTCTTCGATAGACATATTCACCTAACGTGATTACCGTTAGGCGTTTTTCCGCCCAATACTTTCAAGATTTCGTCGCCCCTAAATTATATTTCACGATGCGGCCACACCAGCTACACCCGCTCTGGTACCAGCTATTGCTGTATGTATTAGCAAATGCTATTCTAGTATTTTCTTATTGGTAGCAGCCCCTGATAAAGGTAACCAAAATGTTATTTTCAAATATTCTTCAGAATACTTTAATTCTTTGTTCTCAGTGATATTAAATTCCGTGAAGATACGAGTATAAAAAGTTATACAAGTATAAAAAATATATTTAATGTATTCATTCCCATTATATCTTAGATGAATTTAATCATACAATATTCGTATTTCAATGTGTGTTACATTTATTAAATTTATTAATTTTCCTATTCAGGCTCAAATATACGCTTCACTATATGTAGGATGTATTTATATGCTACACTTCATATAGTCATTCTCAATGCATTAACTGATTAATTCTTATCTATTTTAAATTATTCTTATCTATCATATTTAATGTATTTCAGTGTTTATGCGTTTAAACTGCTTGCATTATCAATCATAAAACAAAATCCCATAACATTCAACCATGATGAAAAAGTTCAAAATGATTTTTCACTACCTTTTTCGCCGACTGACAACAACTGACGACTTTTTGCAGCAGACAATAAAGCTTTTCTCTTAAACTTTGTAGCCACCTGTAGAAAAGTACAGTTATTCTTCGATTGAAAAATAATACATTAAAAAATTTTTACTTGTAGGGTTATAGAAATATTAAGTAACATGGAAAGATGACTCTTGATTGCTCTAAGTTAAAATTTCATTCATGATTAAATTTTCATATATCTGTTGTGCTTTATAAACAATACTTCAGTTCTCAAGTTTAACAAGTTATCAAGAACTGAAGAAAGCCTCATTTTTCGCCAATTAGCAATTACTATATTTACCAATAAAATGAGGTAATACTTAAAAATATTGTTAAAATCTAAAGGAGAAAGTACATAGATAGTGAACATGATACTAAGAAATAATGTAGAATTTTGCATTGAATGGTATTTAAGTTGACAAAAGATTGTCGATATAAATTTGCTCAATAATAAAAAATAGTGATTAGATGAAATATAAAAAGTAAGTATTAATTATAATTCATTTAATTTCGTGTTAAAATATTAAAAAGTTAAAATTACAATTTAATGTTCTGAAAATAATATATTACAAATCTGTACAGACATTAGGTTATTTCGAAGCAAGAGATATGAAAAATGAGCAACGCCTTCACTGGGACTCGAACCACGGGGCTTTCGAATACTTCCCGAGCGTCCTGACCACTACACTACGAAGGCATGCTAAGAAGGAGGGAGAAATACCTTTTACTCCCTCTTTTAAAGGATGACTGGGGATTAGGGGAACGAGTCGCCAAACCCTGGGGGTGAAGAATCATCATCCACCACACTTTTAGTTCGGGCGACACTGTAGAAACGTTAGGATTTGTGGAAGCAGGAGATAAAAAATCAGCATTGCCCTCGAACCAAGAGCCTCTCGAATACGCGCCGAGCGTGCCGACCACTACACTACGAAGGCATACTAAGAAGGCAGGAGAAATACCTTATAAAGTACGAATGAATATCACTCTCCCATTTTTCACAGGTAATATAGTGCCTATTTTTAACAAGCACTTCAGCTTCTTTCCTCTGTTTCTTCTATGGTGTATTGATAAGATGGTTTCAATAAGATAATTTCAATAAGGCATAGATAGTTGTATAATAATCTGTATTCTAAAAGGAAATGTAAAAGTTGAGCACACCCATTGTAATCTACTTTTTTAATCCATTCTGGAAGTTTCTTTTGATATATATAAGCAAAAATTTTAAATATAACTAGCAGATTTAAATATTCAGCTAAAATGGATGTATGGGTTTAAGTAGTGGAACAGGATTTACTGATGATGGCGCGCAAGTCTCATTTTCAAACATCTATTTTATAATGTGATCGTTTCTAGTGCCTATTAGACCTCAAATTGGATTTCAGACGGATTTGTGGCAATAATTCCATTCTATTGACAATGCAATGCAATTAACAGATTAGTTAAAAGACAATTTGTTGCATATTCACATATTATACGCCCTTGCAGCGATTACTAGATAAGTGTGACTTGCGACAACATGGTTTACGCTTTCGATTGATTTTGTAATCTTCCTGATTACCGCTTATCAAGGGACGCCTTCAGTCTCGAGTATTCCTTCTTCACAAATTATATTTCTATTCTATATACTATCTTCGATAAATAAAGTAAGCTTGCTATAAATGCACTTAAGCTTAAACAAAAAATTGGCCTATTCCTGTTAAGATGTCTTCTTTCAAAGCTGAAAAGTGATACGCGGACTGAAATTAATGTCATTTTCAGCTCAAGATCCCTATTCTTTAATGAAAGAAAAAAATTGCATTTATATGCTAAACATTTTAAATTTTCAGTTTATTTCTGGAATATTTAAAATAAATTCATTCGAAACCATACTTTTAGGTTTCTAAAGAGACATAATATTGCCTGTTATTAGAGGGCTCATTCTCATGGTTTTTTTCCAAGGAAATAAGTTTTCTTGGAAGGCTTCCTTTAATGAAAACTGGCTCACTGACGTAACGCATAGGAGAAACCACAAAAATGCCCATGCAGCAGGCCAGTTTTTCAAATAGGAATGAAACGAGACGAAACTGCAAATGTTAAGATATTTTCAATTCTGAACGTTAATGGAGCTGTAATTTTTTTATCAGGTCTTTAAGCCAAATGCCCGTACAATTATTTCCGTAAAAGGTGTTTATTGGGATTACCGAAATCGCTTTCAGAGAAAAATTTAGCGTTAGCTTTTATATGTTGAAAAGATTTCCATAAATCTCATAAGCATTTCTTATTAATTTATTTAATTAACGTCAAGGATACCTAATCGTATGTGTTACACAAATTTCGTATGTGTTACACAATTTTCTTTTTTTTTTTTTTTTTTTCTTTGCAAATGTTTTCAAAGAAAACATATGCAATACGATAAAAGATACCTGTTTTTCCTTGAATTTTTTCTGAAAGAATAAAATAACTTCTAGTTGCTACAGATGTATATTTTTATTAAGCTGAAAAATGGATTTTTTGCAGCTGAATAAAAAGAAGATTACAAGATGAAGTAAAAAAGCTTACTGAAACGTGCATTGTGACATGGCAATTTATTTTCAGATTTGCAAACAGGAATGAATTATTATAAAGAGTATAATTATAGATAACGCAAGAAAGATACTAAGCTGAACAATGAGCATAAAAATAATAAATAAATGGTTTTAGTTGAGTCTTTTTGTCCATCATTATTGAGACATGGATCAGGACTTGGAACTGTCGTATTTCTTTTTCCTTCTAAAGCACCTGACTTATGAAAAGATGAATGAGGATTTTATTTTGATTTTTTAAATTTCCGTACCAAGGACAAAAAAGAATTAATAAAAGATTGTTCTTAGAAAGTACTAAGAAGTAAAACGTTACCTGCGAAAGAAAGTTTCAGCAGCTATAACCCCATTATTAAACTTTTGAAATCGCATATATAAATTCTGTTATATATCACAGAATATTCTGTCATACAGAAGTTTGAATTACATTTTCAACGGAATTCGTAACTTTTTTAACATAAGCTAATACTGTTTGATAAATGGATAACTGTAGTGAATTAAAGCTATTTTCTTGCATTCTTTCTTTTTTTTTTTAATTTTCAAGCTCTTCGCAATAAAAGAAAAAACTAGATTTAATTTTTTCAACGCCTTCAGCAGAAAAAATACCTCCGTATAACACTAAATGTTTCTTAGCGACGCATTGCGCAGTGTCAAATGTCTTGCAAAAAGTAAAAGACTAAATCTATACTGAAAGAAAATAAATGCAGAAGACAGATTTGGTCATAAGACATATTGGAACTCCAGCCTCGGAAATTTCAAGAGTAAAATTGATATAGGTCTTGTAGAGTCATTCAGAAATTTTAGTGTCAGGCAACAAAAAATCCGCAATGCCTCGCCGCAATTCAAACTCCGGACCTCCAGATTAGGCGGCAGAAGTGCTTTCAGTTACACCACGAAGCCAAACGAAAATAAGGGAGAAAATACCTTACACACTTCTCCTTTTAATGGGGGACTGGGAATGAGGGGACTCAGTCACCTAATCCTGGAGGTGACGAATTATCTACCGTCACCTTTTTAATTCGGGCACCCCTTATAGAGTCTTAGGATGTTTTGAAGAAAGGAAATCGAAGAAGTCCGCAATGTCGTCCCCGGTATTTGAACTCGGAACCTCTCGATTCCGCGTGAGACGTGCTTCCAATTACACAACGAAAGCACACGGAAAGGAGGGAGAAACTACATTATAATCTACAGTAGAAAGAAACAAGGACAAAAATCAAAACTGGTTTAAATTTGAGAGGAAGAAAGCTACACGATATGATATAAGATAATAAAAGAAAGATGCATCAGACCGCTGGTGATACAGAATAAAACTACAGGCTCTTAGCGCCAGCTTAATGGGAAAAATAAATGATGATATTTCAAGCTATATGTATGAAATATGGAATATT